GGACCGCTTGATGAATTTTGAAAATAAAAAAATTACAAAAAAACATTATGTCCAGGATACAATTTGTAAAATTATATTTCATTAAATATAAAGATTGAACTAAAATACTTAAATATTCATCCAACACTGTAGGTAGGCTATAAAAATACACAATTTACCTAAAAAAAACAACAAGAAAATTACAATTAAGAATTAAATAAAACCATAAAGGTCAGTCAACTACATTTGCATAAACATAACCAAATGTTGAGTCAAAATAGCTACGAGATAACTGACGAAAAAATTACAAATTGCTCAAAGTTTGTCTGATAAATTTCTTAAATCAACCAAAACGTTAGCTCAAAGCTACGGAACAGGAAAGTTAGCTAGGAATATAGGTGGTGATATGACAGGGAGTGAAACGAAACAGTACAAAGTTAGCTATGATTTAGCCAAAATGTCACAGAGAAAAAGCTAAATGCTAAATGCTATTGCGGATTAGAATTCTCCTGTGACGCAGTAAAATGTTGCATTGGACTTGTCATGATATTTTGAGCATATTTTAAAGGTAACAGTTCACAGAGAAGGATGAATCAACTTCAACTTTTTACCTCAACTCGTCACCTTCTGAACTTTGTCACTTTCTTCTGAACAAGCTCTTCCATGAGGAAGTGGAGCTCAGCGTACCGACTCCACATGAGTTGAGCCCTGCATATCATCGGGGGAGGAGGGTGTTGAGCGAATCTGTCCAAATGTAGATTTTAGGAGGATTAGGTTTCATCCCCGCAGCACAATCCTAGGCCATTATGATAAATCAGGGATCACGTGGATGTTACAGCAGTGGAATCCTGTTCGTTTTGCTTTTTAGCCTTTAATTTGACGCCGCCACATTCTGCTGTCGGACATCACGGAGAAGAGTGAGTTTTCCTTGGTTCTAAGGTCGGATTATGAGGCTGTGGCCACCTTGTGGCAGTGGTTATATTTGTATGTTATACTGACAGCAGCACTTTATTTTAATACACATCAGAGCCCCCTCCACCTCCCTCCCCCGTCTCTCCCCCCGGAGCAGCTTCAGATGACTAATTCTGGGTTTGTGGTTGGCGCAGATTTTCTCTGCTCTTTCTTCACCTCATCGACCGCGGTAATGATCCCACTGTCAAAACGCTCAGCTGCACAGGGAGTGAGTCTGAGGGCGGTGCAGCGACAAGCCTCAGTGCAAACCTGACGCTAACAGTTACTTTAACTCTTCACTGGTTCAAGTGTTCATGACAAACCACCACGACCACGGAGTCGAAGTGTTTCAGCCAAACCAGTCCTGATTCTGTGCTCTGAAAACAGGAATGTCAGTGTTTTTTAAGGTGTCGTTTCCAGGACGACAACATCTAAAGTTACAGACTGAAATCTGAGCTGTTTATTAGGCGACAACATCTAAAGTTGCACAGATCAGTATCTGTAACGTAACAGACTGAAATCTGAGCTGTTTATTAGCTTTGAAATTTGTTTGTTTTTTGGGGGGTTATCTTTCCATTTGTTTTCTAAGCTAGCTGTTGTTTATTAGTGAAATAATAATGATGAAAATAATAAGTGGAATAACTTCTTGCATGTCCTAATATTTGGTTTGCCGTTTTAAAGCTAAAGTAATGATTTTACTGTGTTTTAGACCAACTAGCTAAAGCTAGCTAGCATTGAGCTAACTCCTACTTTTCTTAAGTTAAGACAATCAACCAGGTTCACCATCAACTAGAGTTCTCCTCCTGCTGATTATTGTAACTATTCAGACCAGAACAGATGACGTTTATTACTGAAGAGTAAAGATTGGACGCCATGTCTTCTCACTCTGCCCAGAGATAAAAATACAGCTACCAGCTCCTCCAGAACCAGAACAACACGTCCCAACCTGTTTAAATCACACAGAGGTTCAGAGTGAGTCCAGTGTTTGGGGAGAACAAACAAACACCACGCGGACCACGGGGCTGCTCTGTGATTGGACGATTGGTCGTATTTCAGAACAACAGGTTTGATTCCCACTGCAATCAGAAGCAGATGTAGAGAAAAAGCTGACAAACGGCAGGACGAGGATCTGACGCCGGGCCAGAACAGACGCTCTCACCAAACACTCGAAGGATTCAAACCTTTTTTTATATAAATCTTTGTAGTGAACTGTTGGCCTTTGGCTGTGGTTGGTGTTTTTGAAGAAAAATTAAAAAAAATTTAAATGTAAGGTCTTTTCACAGTTGCTGGGCAGATGGGAGGAGGGTGTGTGTGTGGGGGGTGG